GATTAATAAATATTATTAAAAGTGACATTGTAGCAGGAGGCTAAAATGGTGGTCAACAATGAAAAATCTGGTAGCATTTTTTCAGACTAGCTAAGGTTGCAGTTCATGGCAACTTATGCCTTTTAATAATATTTATTAATCAAAAGAGTTGCTTCCACCTTCCTGATTTTTTTTTTAAAAAATGATAGTAATTCTTTTTCTAAAAATGTTCATCTTATGGCGGTGATAAAACAAAAGGAAATGAACCAAAACAATGAATCCTCCCCTCTGTAAGTATGTTGTGGCTGAAACAGAGCCCTGTGGGTTAAAGCACTACTACTTTGATAAACTGGAAGGTAGCTTTTAAGTAAAAAATAAAACACTAATTTAAAATGATCTCATTTGCTTTTTAACTCTCATCAAACACTGTTTCATTACCACAATAAACACAATAATCACAAGGGAACTGCTTACTTCACGATTTGACATATCCATCAGGACTGCAAAGCTGGTCATGTGGTTACATTGACAAATAATACGGTTCTGGCGTCGAGAAAACAGTTCACACCCTTTGGAAGACCAGCCTCCTGCTGTTTCTCTAGTTCTGGTCAATGAAAGGGGGAAAGAAATCCAATTCGAATTAGAATAGAATAGAATTATTTATTGGCCAAGTGTGATTACACAAGGAATTTCTCTTTGGTGCATATGCACTTATTGCACATAAAAAAAAGATACATTCATCATGAATCATAAGATACAACACTTAATGATAGTGGTAGGGTACAAATAAGCAATCAAATCATACTAGGAAACAATCAATTATATTTGTTATCTGACAGGCCAAACTGTTTCAGTGATGGATTGGAACTTAACTTCTCATTGCTGTCCCTCCTCTAAATAATTAACAGTGCAACTCACAAAACGTAAGAGATTTTTAAAAAGTGCAGCTTTTATGAAAACCAGTGTTTTCATTATTAATCTCCACTTCTCAAGAACAACACCCATATGTTCAGGAGCATCAGGGCTCATTAATGTACTGTCTGGCCATTGAAGTCAATGTTTGCAAAGGTGTGTTGTTCCTTTCAACTCTGCTTCATCATGACCAATGGCAACATTACACACAGGTAGGATAAGCAGTGCAAGTAGCACATGATTATCACTTAGCTATCTCTTTGATCTTTAAATAATAGTGAGCCTGTTCCTGGCTGGAAAGCTATAATAAAATTCCATTATTCTAAATCTCACGGGATTATTTGGTATATATCTATTTTTATATCCTAGCATTGGTTTCAAGATATGGGCGCAGTGTTTCCCACATTCTCCAAGATGTTATTTTGATGGTTCACATACTTCTTATAACTCTGTAAGAGCTGCAAAAATAATTAATTAATTAATTAATAATAATGCCATCATCCATTGAAAAAGAAGCTCAGAAGTTCCCTACAACAGTAATGGTGAAACTTTTTTGCCTCGGGTGCCAAAAACACGCACGTGCAAGCTATTGCACCCCCATAATTTAATGCCACCCCATGCCGTGCCCCCTGCGCATGCACATGTAACCACCCCCCACTGCCCCAGGCATGAGCACATGGCTTTCTTGGAGCCTGAGGTGGGCAAAAACGGCCTTCTCCCCCCCCAGAAATGGCCCATTTTCTGACTTCCGGTGGGCCTGGTAGGTCCGTTTTTCACCCTCCCCAGGCTCCAGAGGCTTTTTAGGCGCCTGGCGAGGGCAAAAAACAGCCCAACGTGCAAACCAGGTTCAGGAATGGCTTCACGGGAGCCTCCAAAGGGCGAAAAATGGCTGATAATCAGTTGGACAGTGCACACATGTGCGCTAAAGCTGACAGGGCAACACCTCATGTGCCCTCAGAAAAGGCACCGCCTGCCACAGGTTCACCATGACAGCCCTAGAACATATGATAAGGTGATTCTGTTCCTGAATGAAATTTAAAATGCTGTGTTTCCCCAAAAAGAAGACCCTCCCTGAAAATAACCACTAACCTAATATAAGCCCTACCCCAAAATAAGCCTGTGGGGATGGGCGTGCCCAGCACTAGAGTTGGAGAGTGCATGGGGACCAATGGTGTCTGGCCACAGCCTGCTGGCCCCTTGGAAGGGGCAAATAAGTCTGAGCGTGGAGGTGGGGGGGAGGGGAAGCCAAGGTGGCGCAGTGGTTAGAGTGCTGTATTGCAGTACTGCAGCCACTTCATCTGACTGTTATCTGCAGTTCGGCGGTTCAAATCTCACCGGCTCAGGGTTGACTCAGCCTTCCATCCTTCCGAGGTGGGTAAAATGAGGACCCGGATTGTTGTTGGGGGGCAATATGCTGACTCTGTAAACCGCTTAGAGAGGGCTGAAAGCCCTATGAAGCGGTATATAAGTCTAACTGCTATTGCTACTGCTATAGATAGGTGATCTGGATGTCCTGTGCTGCTGCCTGGCTCACAGGAAACTTGCAGTAGGTTTGCACGGTGGCATCAGCAGCAGGCATAGGCATGGGGGAGGCAGGCAATCACAACGCTCCACATAGGCACCTGCCTGGCAGGGCCACAAGCAGTCTGAGAGATGGTGGGATGGAGTGGGCAGCACATTGGAATTGCCTTCCTCCCCCCCCCCCCCAAATGCCTCTGCCTGGCTCCGCCATGAACTTTTCACCTAGAAGGAGACGAAGCTTCGTCTGATTGCAAATGGGACACTTGGAAATGGACCTAATCACTCCATTTCAAAGTGTCCCATTTGCAAGCAGCAAAGCTTTGAATCTCCATTATTTCTCTGCCCGAGTGGGCGCCTACGGGGCACTTGGGAATGGAGCAAATCACGACCAGAATGAAAAGAAGTAAGAGGTTCAGTGACATTATTTTTATACCCACAATCATATCCTTTCTGTTTTTCATTACAAACAGTAAAAATGACTAATAGTGACAGAAGGCTACTGATAATTAACAGAATTGTCTTTGTGACAATTTGATGGCGCTTCAAAAAGTACATCGATAATTTATGTTCTGTTAAAGTTGAAATAGTTTTTTTTTTTGAACTTCAAAAAAAATTGAACTTCTTTCCAGTTAAACAGCTAACTTCTGTCTAGAAATTGTTCTCAAATAAATATGTTGTGTAAATTTGTCTAAAAAAGCCATCTGTCTGTCTGAATACTGGAGTACTTTATTAAAAACTTGTTACCTAGTCTTTATTTCTAATAGGCAACAAATAACAGCCAATGAAGTTGTCACTGCTGTTTATACTATGTAAAAAAGAGAGAAGTTTTGTTGTTGTTGTTGAAACCGGCAACCTGGTCTTCCGGTTTCTGGCCTGCATGCATGTGTAAAGACCAGCTGGCAGGTGTGCTTATGCCGCCAAAAATCAGAAGATCATCTTCCTGGCGTGCGCATGCACACTGGGTGGGTGCTCTTCCAGTTTCCGGGCAGTCCCATGTGCGTGAAGACCAGCTGGCCGGTGTGCTGGAACCCAGAAGAACAATGGGCGACAGCTCTGCATGCCACATCCAGCACAGGTGTCATAGGTTCTCCATCACGGGTATAGGTTCTTCTCCTTGAGCAGGGGCTGGACTAGAAGACCTTCAAGGTCCCTTCCAGCTCATCCATTTTATTCTATTCTAAAATGCCCATCAACAATAATTGCCTGTAGAAAAGAGTGCAGATTGAAAAACATACGCAATTGAGTGGTTCCAGAAGACACACACAGGCTTTGTTCTCTCCATTGTTTCCAGCATAACATGCTCAATCATAATTGGGCTGTCCACTAGATTAGGCAAAGAATTTCCATCTCTGTAAATGATTACGCTGATTACTGGAGTATTAATGGTGGGGCGGTTGGGTAACCTGGAAAATAGAACAACGTTATCATTACAGATGTAGAACAAAATAGTTTATTGTTTTCAGAAGAGTATATTACTTTAGGTTTAGCCAGGACTCGGTACTGAATTCTCTTCTGTGTGAAGACATCTAAAGGGACAGTTTAAGCAAGCAGATTCACTGCCTGATAGCAAATGAATGATGGATTTCATGTATTAACGAGTCATCAGAATTTTTAAAAGCACTGACAGAACATGCATAACATCCTCAACATAACGGAGTCAGTTCACACATCTAACTGTGAATTAAATCCTTGAGGTTCTAATTCTAAGATAAATTATTTAAACAAATAAATCCTATTTTTTTCCAAAGTGGTATCTATTTTATTGTGAATTACTTTCTAGAATCATCCAGAACAACCAAGAGAAATATCAGCAACTAATTTCTCAGTAAACTTAAGTTTAAATGTACAATACTTTATTTAGTCATAAAAAGGTAAAGGTAAAGGTTCCCCTCGCACATATGTGTTAGTTGTTCCCGATTCTAGGGGGCGGTGCTCATCTCCGTTTCAAAGNTGACTGCTCTTTAGAAGACCAGATCCTGAAGGTGAAACTCAAATAATTTGGCCACCTAATGAGAAGGAAGGACTCACTGGAGAAGAGCCTCATGCTGGGAACGATGGGTGGGCAAAAGAAGAAGGGGATGATGGAGAATGAGGTGGCTGGATGGAGTCACTGAAGCAGTCGGTGTGAGCTTAAATGGACTCCAGAGGATGATAGAGGACAGGAAGGCCTGGAGGAATGTTTTCCATTGGGTCGCGATGGGTCGGACACGACTTCGCAACTAACAACAACACCACACTGGTTAACAGGAAATGGAAATGGTAATTTTGGTCTACTTATGGCCCCACAAGATCTCTTTTTGTATCAGAACACAGCTCACTATTCTATGTTAAAATTACCAAAGGAGGATAATCTGTTTATTTAATCAAGACTTCAGGAAAGAGCTGGCAGTTTTATACTCACAATTTAAAAACTTGGCAACTTTAAACTCTCTTTGTAAAGTCTTTTACTCTCATAATTCTGAGTATTTATTTGGCATGTGTCTCTGCTTGGGTCATAATAATGCAAACTGCTTATTTCAGATATGCAACATTGAAAATAGAGAATTTTGTCAATCAATCATTCACGCGTGGCTGAAACCTCACCCAGTCATGTGATCCCTGCCTTACAGAAATTAATAAAAGTGAAATGAAATGTCGAGTGACTCTGTGTCAATTGTTTTCCTAAATTCTTGGACTTTTCATGCTCATTTGCGTGTGACTGCCGAGATTATTCTTATTCTGCAAGGAAGGTTTGAAAACTGTCTGAAAGACATTCCCAGCAGATCTCACTACAATTCAAGGAGTGGCCCTTTCTGAAAGATTTCCGGCTTTCTTGCTAAGAAATGTCTTAAGATGGGGCAGGATATTTTTGTTAAGTAACTCATGATTATCTCCTGCTTTCAAGCTTATTAAAAACATACATTTCTGAGCAAATGCTCTGAATTATTACATGAATAATTTAACGGATTTGGCATGGGGTGAATTTAATTAATTTGAAAAAAAAATCTTGCCACAAGTTCCTTAGAAGTGCAAAGAGTGCTAGTACAATATAAAGAAGGAGAGCTAAAGAGTTAATACATTTTATTGAGATAAAGCCCCCAAAGTCTTCTCAGAATGATTGGGTTGAAGATTTAACACAAGCCCAACTTAGGTCTTCATCTCTACTCTGCCCTCCCCCAAGGCAACAGGAAGTTGAAAAATAACAAATTGTGAAGCTCTAGGTCAGGGGTCTCAAATTTGTGTTGTCATGGTGGCGTCACATGACCTATTGCGATTTCCCTCCCCCCACGCATGGGCGTGGCCAGTTTGTGACGCATCTGGCAGGTCACAAGTTTGACAACCCTGGTCTAGATCTATGATGGCGAACCTATGGCATATGGCGCCATCTCTGCCGGCACGTGAGCCGTTGCCCAGATCAGTTTCACTGTGCATGTGCATCCGCCTCTCGTCAGCCGGCTGATTTTCAGGTCTGTGCAGGGAGAAACATGCACATGTGAGGGGGTAGGGGGGGTCATGCATGTATGTTCGGGGGTGGGGGATGCAGCGCCACCTCCGCACCCCGTTTTTGGTTCCAAGACGCTTCAGGGAGGCCTGCTAGCACCAAAATGGGGATCGTGTGGGCAGGGGGGGGGTCAAATGCACATGCATAGGGGTGGGGCATTGGATTCTGGGTATTGGCACATGCTATCATGCCCGTTTGTGTATGTGCTTTTGGCACCTGAAGGAAAAAAGGTTCGACATCACTGGTCTAGATACTTAAATAAACAGTGTTTCTGTGAGATCCATCTTAAGCTCAACCATCTCTTTCACTCCAAATAAAACAATTTGGTAGCAAAGCTGATAGGAATGCATTCACGCCTTTGAGTCATGGTAGACTTTTTTGTTTGGTGTATACTTTCTAGTATGTTAGACAAAAGGCACTGGAAATTAAGTCTTACTTGATTTTCCGTCTGATTGATTCCTATCAGGAAGACTAACTCAGAGCAGAACAGAGCAGCCACCAAGTTTTTGTGAATGCTGTGCAGGTTGGACCGCAAAGTTCGGATCAAGACCAGAAGTATGAAGGTCAGCAGCAAAGCTACCAGTGAGATGGAAACTGTCGTGTAAGTGATGATCCTGAGAGGAAGTACGTCATCATACTGTAAAATAAAAATATCAGTTTGTTTGTTACAGGCATGGGCTGATAAAAAAATATTATTCATTTGTCTTTATTCCCCTTCTAAATGCTCGGTTATTATACTTTTAAAATTCAGCATGGATAGTGTGTTCATTTGACTAAACGCTGTTCTATCTCAAATCCACATTCTTTTCAGTGGTATGAAAGGCTGTCAATTTCTAAGAGTGATTTAGTTTTTTTAAAAAAAAAAACTTCAGGGAATATGTCAAGCAGTGAATTAATTCACTGACAAGTTTTTGTAGTGAAAGAAGACCACAGTTAAATGGATTCCAGTCCTTTTCTTCAGTGTTTACATTTGTATTTCTAATTCACTGCTTGAAGTACTGTATATCCCCATTAATAAGAGGCTATTCTATGCCAGAAAGAAAAGCCTCAAGATGAAGCACAATGAAGAAACTTCTATGTTTCTCAAAGTGCATGTATAAATAAAAAAATTAAAAAATAGGTATTGCAACAGGGGAGGTAAGACATTCTTTTTAAAGCACAGACTGCTTGTAGGTCAAACTATTAAATTCCTGCAGGAAACCCCATCGGACGTTTTAAGCTGTGCTCACTCAAGAGACATCATGACTTCAGCATTTCTTTCCCTGCACTCTTCCCTACAAATCCATCTGCAATTTCCTTAAAAATGGATGCCTGACTTTGGCAAGTCCCCATCTTTGAAATGGGAATTGTAATAACTCACTCTGTCATCGTATAGCAAGGATAAATACATTAAGCCACAGAGCAATTTGCAGACCCAAAGCATGGTACAAAGGATTAAACATGGACAGTTCTGAGTTCATACTTTGCTTTGCAAAACATAGATTGAATTGCAAGGTACGGAGGGGTTGGGGTTAGGCTATGGGCATCTGTGGGAGGACCAGGCAAAGGATTCAAGACCTTTTTATGTGTATGCCATGCATATAAAAAGGGTGGGGTTTAATCAGGTGGCTGCCATCTTGAATCCCCCCCCCCCCCCCCCCCCGGAAGCCTCTGAGGCCCATCAGTGTCCTGCTTTCCTTGAGTCATTAACAGAAGAAATATGAACTATTAAATTAGCAAATAATCAACATTTAAAAAAAAAAACTAGCTGTCTTGACATCTTATATCAAATAAGGCTCAGATTTAAATCTGGAAGGAAATACAGGTAATC